CAAAAGAGTCAACTTTCATTTCACTTTGAGTTCAGTGATGACGGATATTGAAATATACATTTGTGTACTCTTTGCTCCTGCTTTAAAAACCGAGTATGTTGCCGTGGCCGTGGCTCAGCTACTTGGAGTGTTGTCCCGCACACCAAACTGGTGGCTAGTTCGATCCCCCAATGGGGCACATGCCGTCGTGGAGGAAGGCACCTGTCCTACTCATCTCCCTCTCTCTGTCCCCAGTTGGTATACAGATTTGCTCTATGAATGTTTAAAAATGAAACTTTATACTGAAGTCATAATTACACAGGTTACACACTAAGTTTTTTTTAATCCTCACCTGAGGATATGTTTATTGATTTCAGAAAGAGGAAGGGAGGGAGAAAGAGAAACATCGAAGTAGGAGAAGCATCAATCAGTTGACTGGAGATCACACCCGCAACCTTTTTGGTGTAAGGATGGCACTCCAACCAAAGGGAATGACTTTATTTTAAACAAGTTAACCTTTTTTTAGAGAGGGAAGTAGGAAGAGAGGGAGAGAAACATCTGCGTGAGAGAGCAACATCGATCGGTTGCCTCTCTCCAGCGAGCGTGTGCCCTGACCTTGAATCAGCGGGCAACCTTTCGCTTTGCGGGATGACAGCCAGCCACCGAGCCACACCGGCCGGTCACAAACGAGTTAAGTTTAAGTTGGCTTAAGTTAGGCAGCCAAAGGAGATGTCAGATAGCTATTTAGATACTAGTCTGCGTCACTTAGGTGAGAAGTCAGGGTTGCAGAGGAAACACGTGTACATCATAAGTATGTAAATGGTCATGTACCATGATACTAGATGGAATTTCCTAGGAAGTGAGAGATAAAGGGAACAAGAAATCCGAAGGCTGACTCCGGAGCGATACCGAGCTTTAAGTCAGCAGGAAAAGAGAAACCTGCAGAGGAGCCGGAGATGTCGTGACACTGCAAACAGGGAGAAGCCAGCCAGACACTGCTGACGATGAAGTGTTCCATGATTTACCCCTGCTTAAATCTTTCAGTGTAGTCTATTAATATAGCTTAGGGTTTTTATACTGTGATGTCTCAAAGTAACAGGAGGTCTGTGAAACCTGTACCTTTACTCATTTGTGTTGTAAACCAACCTCTCTCCTCTTTTTTGACTTAGGAGACCTCACGAAACAGCTCCCCGTCATGGTGGTGGGGGAGCACAAAGACAAAGTGATTCAGTGCAGGTGGCACACCAAGGACCTGTCCTTCCTGTCGTCCTCTGCAGACAGAACTGTGACCCTCTGGACTTACAGTGGATAGAGTGCCCCCAGTGTCGGTCTAGGCGGTGAAAGCTGGGGACTTAAACTACTGAGTTGTGACAATTCCAGATTTGAAGGACATAGACTGACCCAGGAAGTGGCTTAGCATGAGGAGGCCCCTGTGACCTGTGCCCCTTGGTAGGAACTGTCGGGCGTGTTATTCTGCAGTGCTTTCGTCTTCCACGCGAGCGCGTGCCGCTGTGACCTGCTGTGTGTCGTCCCATTGCCAAAGTCTGCAGCAGAGCTCTGACGCTGTCGGTGTGCCCTCCAGGTTGAGGTGGATGGCGTGTTGTTTACAGTCTAGTATTAAAGCATTCCTTGGTCTTTGCCGAAATAACTGTTTTATATACACGTTGAAATTGAACTGTGTTTTAAGCATATTATTACACATAACACACCCAAGTTCTACACAGATTAACTAAACATAGGTGTTCAGAAATGAATTTTGTTGTTCTCAGAATCCCATGATATTGTATCACTTATCAGCTAGAGGTCAGAACTTTATGTCTCTTGAAAGTTACATGGTTGTTTTCACTGAGGATCATTCTGGAGTTGAAAGATAGATGGTAAACTGCTTCTTAGTTCATTAAGTGGCATAGGCCTTTTCTTTTCTCTTAACCAGGGATATAATTACTATTTTGTCACATTATTTTGTTTCAGGCTTCAAAGGTCAATGTGTTGGCTTCAGAAACTTGTTAAGTTCAATTTTTTGAACGCAACAGGATACCTCCCTCCCACACTGCACTGCGGCAGCAGCGCAGCGGCGGGGGTGACGCGGCCCTGGACGGTACCGTTCACTTCCTGGCTGGCATTCTCCTCTAAAAATGACAACTTTGCCATAGACAATAGCATGGCTTGCGATGCTATACCTGCATGATAATGTAAAAATGGAAATTTTAAACTTTGCACTCCAAAAGCTTATTTGGATTTTTTTCTTGCACTGTTTTATGTACTGCAGAATAATGATTTTATTTCAATGGTATTGTAGAGCCTAACACTTAACGTATCTTTATTTTCATATTGTACAGTAATTTTACTTTAAATTATTAAATAGGCTATTTTATTTATTTCAGATGCAGTTGAATTGGTCTTAATTATTGAACTGTCTGTGCACTGTATGTAGCGAGCATTTTTAAGCTATCTTATACAAGTGGAAAGGGTAATAGAAGTGTAACTGTGCTATTATTTCAATAAAGACCTCTTGGTACCTGAAACTGTTCCCATTCTCAGCATCTGTGGCTCTCATTTAGAGTGTTATTTTTTCCAGTTTCCTTGGAGGTAGTGTGGTCTGATGGACGGGCAGCCACTTTCTTATGTTTCGGTCTAAAGTTTCCCCACTAATTTAGTTTTTAACCCTTGGCATCTGCACAACTTTTGTGTGTCTTCTACCTTTTTTATTCAAGATCTAGAGAACTTCCTATCTTGCATATCTTGTGAAAGTTCATTAATAAAACCTGGCAATATTTATAAATTCTAACCCAGACTACAAATGCATTGAGTTGAATACACTTAGAGAGAAATGCAATCGAATTGGCTTGTGGGTATCCGATGGGTACACGGTTTTTCTACCTCTCAGACATGCAGAAGGGAGCTCTGCTAAAAATAGACTACAGATACCTCTTTACTTTCTTTTCTTCTATTTTCTGTTTAACCCCTTTATTTTTCCTATTTATTGAATTTGTTGGTGTGACACTGTTTAACAAAATTATGCAGGTTTCAGGGGCACAATTCTGCAACACATCATCCATACACTGTATTGTGCTCACCAACTCACCTTTCATTTACCTTCGTGCTTAATTTCACACATTTTAGATATTATAGCAGGTCATTAGTGTTAAGTTTGACACTAGGAAAAAGGGCAGTTTGTTGGACAGACCAGCTCAACCTCCTGCCAAAAATGTTCATAAAATGTAGGGTTCCATCTTTTTCACTATGAAGTAGTAAGCTCTGAAGATCCTCTTGTATGTGGGCTCTGGAATCCATTTTGCAGTGCATTAGGTAACAAGCACTAGAAGTGATCTTCCTGCAGCAAATGTCTGGTTCCATATGTCCTTCTTCCTGTGTCACCACAATGTCTTCTGCATGCAGGCGAACAGGTTCTGGGAGGTTCATGTGCGAGAGAAAACACAAGCACTGGAGTATTTACATCCTCTGGACCTTCCTCATTTGGGGAGCTGGGAAGGGCAGTGGGCATGAGAGGGCAGCGCAGAAGTTCCGAAGTCCTTGCCAGAAGCTTCAGGGGTCTGATTCAGATTTTATTTTTGAAATGTTTATTCCTTAAATTGTAGTAAGCCAAGGATATAGTCAACAGAGTGGGAGAACCCATGAAATGGGAGAAAATATTTGTAAATCATGTATCTGATAAAAAGTTAATCTCCAGAATAAAGAACTCCTGTACCTCAGTTGAAATCCCTTTCCCCAAATTATAATCCTGATTTTAAATTGGGCGAAGGACTCGAATACACATTTGTCCAAAGAAGACAGACAAATGGCTGATAAGCACATGCAAATATGCTCAACACCACTAATCATTAGGGAAATGAAAATGAAAATCATGAGACCACCTCACATCCATTATTAGAATGGCCATTGTAAAAAGCTGTTGGAAAGGATGTGAAGAAACTGGAATTCTTGTGCACTGTTGGTGAGAGTGTAAAGTGGTACAGCCACTGTGGGAAACAGTAGAGTGGTTCCCCCAAAAGTTAAAAATAAAATTACCATATGATCCAGTGTACTCACTTCCCAGTGTATGCCAAAAAGAATCGAAAGCAGGGACTGGGAGAGAGATTTGTACACTCGTATTCATAGCAGCATTCCTCAAGAGTCAAAGAGGTAGGTGTAGGCAACCCAAAAGTCCGTCAAGGGGTAAGTGGATAAACAAATTTTGGTATACAGTACAATGGAGTATTATTCAGCCTTAGAAAAAGAAGGAAATGTTGACATCCTACAGCATAGATGATTCTTGAGAGTATTATGCTGAGTGGAATAAGCCAGCCACAAAGAGACAAATACTACTTCCACTTCCAGAGTAGTCAAATTCATAGAGATACAAGGGGGAATGGTGGTGGGCAGGGCTGAAGTGATGAGTTGTTAATAGATCCAGAAATTCAGTTTAGCAGGATGAAAGGGTTAAGGAGATGGGATGGTGGTGACGGTTGCACAACCATGTGAATGCATTTAATGGCGATGAATTATACACTTAGAAAGTGATTAAGATGACAAAGTGTATGTCAGGTGTATTTTGTTTTAAAAAATTGTAATAAGCAACTTGTACACTTAAGTACTACCCGATATACCAAATTTTAAGCCACTTTAGAATTTGTTGCCAATAACTTGTGTACGTCTCTCATTTCTTCCTCGTGTGTAAAACTCGTCCCCTTCTCTTCGGAGTTTTCTGAGATGGCAAGGCCAGCAGATAGACAAACACAAAGCAATCCCTCTGCCCTGTCCCATAAGACGATTGTTTCCATTCCTTACACTCCATTTACAATACTGTGCTCAAAACAGGTTTCCGGGTGTTATTACACCCACGGTTATAAGTCAAGACCAAAAAGATACTCTTCTTATCTATTTTATACATTTGGCTTCGGCGTGAGTGGTCATTTGCGGAGTTCTTCCAATGAAAAGCAAAGCCCCGGGCGGAAATCCAGCCCACAGAGGCTGGCCACGCCCCCTCAGAGGGCCAATCAGCGGCGCGCCTGGAGGACGCACAGCTGCGGGCGGAGCGAGTTGCTGTGGGCGCGCCGGCGGTTCAGTGTCTGCAGAAGCGGTCGGTGGTCTGCGCAGTACGCTCTCCTCTCCACTGTCTTCTCGACGCTGTTGGCCTTCTTGAAGAGGGCGGGGGGGCGACCGCGGACGTAAGTGTCACTGTGGTTGTGCGGACGGCGGGCGGGCTGTGGGGTGGCCCCGGCTGGTTTCGCGGGCTGTCCGAAGGCCGCGGCACTGCCCTCGGGGTGGAGTCCGCGCGCTCACGGGCTTGCGGGCAGTGGAGAGCGCCGTGTTTCCCGGGGCGGGCGAGCCGCCGCCTCCTCTTCCCCGGGCCAGCGGACCGCCCCAGGTCCGGGAGCTTCGTCGTCGCTGTTGCGCTTCGCTGTTCAAGAAGCGGCCTAGGGAAGCGGAGCGGGCGAGTGCGTAGCCAACCCGGACGAACGTTGACTCGTTAAACTTGGGTTATCTCTGAAAACTTGGCGCAGCGTTTGAACAGTCACGGTTCTCAGAAATGCCCGGATTTAGTGGCGGTGAATTTTGAAAAACTTCAAGTAAATATGAATATCGAAAGTTCGAGATGCAGGTTTCCCGAGTGGGTGGCGAACAACCATCAGGTGTTTCCGACCGCGGCGAGGAATGCGGGGCCCCGGGGCGGCTTTCTCCTTATCATCTTCACCTGGGAGCTGATTAGGCTCGAGCTTTGGTGTTAAGGCTAAGGTCCCAGAAAACTGCGTGTGCGCACGCGCACTCAATTCAGAACTCTGACATTGAGTCCGTGCTAAGCGATTGTGGAATTTGACCCCATTATCCATCCAAGCTTTGTCGTTCTTATTAAACGTGTAAGTTCATTGAAATGAGATACCTTTCTGCTTATTTCCACCTAGTAGCTGGCAGTCTCCCGAGAGATCAGCCTTTTTTTTTTTTTTTGTAGCCCTTCCAACGAGTAGCTCAGGCCCCACTCACTCACGGCGTTTCCAGACTTGTGGAGCCAGCATGTCTCCTCTTTGTCCCGCTCTGGCCACTAGCGTTCTTTCCCGGAGAGGCACTGTAGGTAGAGCCAGTCCAGGTCCATTTTACCAGACGAGGACTGGGCCCAGAGGGGGCCTGCCTTGGGCCCACCGGTAGTGGGTGTGTTATTGACTTCATGTAGCAAGTTTTCACAATGCGTGTCCAGGTGATTTTGAGAGTATGTTTACTAAACCTGGTGACAGTGAAACGAAGAAGCAACCAGAGAAAGTAGAGACAGGTTTAGAGGGTAAACCCTGGATAAGCTCCCACTGCCCACTGCTCCCTGCCTTGCAGCCTCGTGGAGTGCCTTAGAGTTTTGGAGAAATACTGAAGAAAGAGGAGGCTGGTGAGCTCTAGAGAGAGCGCACTCTCAGGTTCCTTTGTATGGAGGCTTTTTATCTTTCTTTGCCCAGTGGAATTCTAGGGAGGTCGCTGGGAAAAGTCTTAACAGAATATTGATTTGCTTTCCAGGTGTGTATAGTGAGGTCAGAGGTTCTTTCCTGGTTAGGTTCATTTTTAAAGAAAGTCATTGAAGCCGGACCCCAGCCTAGGCCCTTTTGTCTCGGGACAGCCTGGGGTATCAACCACTTATTTGCTCTTCAGTGCCCTTGGATAAGGAAGATAAAACCTTGGGAATCATTAGCTGACTGTAAATCGCCGAAATCGTTTGGTCTTGTTTAATTGTTTTGTTTCAGGTTCCCATATTCCACCTGTCAAGGAATTACCCTGGCTTCTCACTGTCCTGCCTCACTGTCACCCACTCACTAGCTGAGTGACCTTGGGCACCTTGCTTGTTTTCCTCATGTGTAAAATGGAGGTAACAATAGTAGTGCTTCCAAGAGGTTTTGGGAGGATTGAATGAATGAATGCATGTAGCAGTGTTTGGCACGTAGTAACCGAAGACTAGCTACTATTATATAATTTTGATATTGGTGTAAAGCCTGATGTGGATGAAAAATGATAAAGATCAGTCTTGGTTGGTGTGCCTCAGTGGATTGAGCACTGGCCTGGGAACCAAAGGATGGCCATTTTGATACCCAGTCAGGGCACATGTCTACGTTGTGGGCCAGGTCACCAGTAGGGTGCTCTTGAGCAGTAGGGAGCAGTTGACAACCAACCACACATTGGTGTTTCCTCTTTTTCCCTTCCCCTCTCTAAAAATAAGTAAATAAAATGTTTTTAAAAATAAAGAAGAAATGATAAAAAGTAGGAACTGGGGGAGAAGGACCATTTACTAGCAAGTATTAGAATTGCAGGTGCTGCCATTAAGCTGCACCAGCATGGGGTGGTTACTCAGCCTTTTCACTTCCCGAGGTGCCGTCTGCAGGCCAACATCTCTGCCATCACTAGGAGCTTTGGGGAAATGCAGACTCTCGGGCCCACCTCTGACTTAGTCAGAATTGGTTTTTTAACAAGGTCCCCACCAGGTTTAGATGCAGCTTTGTTTGGAGGAAGCATGAAATCAGTTTCTAAAGGAGTCCCAGTCTTAAATCTTTGACCTTGGGGGTTTGCCAGGAGGGCTCGAATTTGCAGCTGACTCCACTGCTGGGCCTCACCCTGGTCTCCCATCGTTTCTGCTTTGCTCACCCCTCACCTGGTAGAGAGCTCTCTATCTGCTGTTCATCAGTGAGGGTGTGGCATGGTTTCCAACAGCATGACTTTGTGGGCGTCACGGTCAAAAGTCACCTGCTTGAAAGGCTTTGAGTCACCTCCTGAGATGATGCCCCTTCAGTGCTGTGTTCCCAAATCTCAAGCCTTGTTCCTCACAGTGCACCTCTGGCCCCTGGTGGCTATTTCACTGTCCCCTTGGTGCCCCGTAGTGGCGTTGCGAACTTGCCTGCTGCTCTTTGTGCTCTGCAACCTTTATTTCCATCCCTCCTCGCCTACTTCTGTTTATGAAGTAGTTTAAAACCTTGCTGCCTGTGAAGAAAAGCCTTCCTTGCATCCTTGGTCCCGGACCCTGCCGTCTTCTCCGAGCCTCTGCTGGGCTCAGACACTCTACTTAGGTTTTAACTGCTTAGAAGACCTGCCAGTCTCCTGTCTTGGTATCCCTGTCACTTAAGATGGTGCCCTGTCCAGTGTGTATTTAGTAAATGTTGGGCAAATAACTGCTGGATTTATTTCCACAACCGAAGTCTTATTTGGAGTTTCTTTTTCTCTTTTTGAATCCTCACTTGAGGACATTGATTTTTTTAGGGAGGGGTAGGGGGCATGGATAGAAACATTGATATGAGAGAGAACCATCAATCCATTGCTTCTCAGACACATTCTGACTGGGGACTGAACCCACAACCTAGGCATGTGCCCTGACTGGGAATCGAACCTGTGACCTTTTGGTTTATCGGATGATGCTCCAACCAGCTGAGCCAAACTGGCCAGGGCTCTTTCTTTCCTAAGTTAACAATATCCCTGTTATTGTTGGCGGTGGACCTAGAAATCCTGGAGTCACGTTTGTCATCATGTTTTCCCTTTCCACGCACTCAGTTGCTGAGGCCTGCAGAATTCATCGTCTCCAGAACGGGTCACGTGTGCTCTTCCTGCCCTCCCTGCCACCACTCTTTCCGGCCCACATCCTTTTTCTGCTTCAGTCTCCCGTTGGACTCTGAATCCGGTTTTATCCACAGTCTGTCCCCTCAGTGCTGGTGTCATCTTCCAGCACGTAGCTCCCATCACCCTTGAAAGCAGAAGTCAGTCAAGCTTTTGACTAGGCATTGCCATCTCAGCCTGTGTCCGCATGCCCTGTCCATCCTGCCTCCTCGGCATTTACTGACCATCTTCCATGTGCCAGCCGCTGGGTAGGTTTGGGGCTTGGAGACACACGGGAGGGAAGGTGGGGACATCATCAGGAAGGGGAATTCAGATTTGAGTAAGATGTCTCCTTTGTCCTAGAAGTTCACTTCTCAGGCGGTTTGCTGCCTTCACTGCATGTTGGAATCACCTGGGAGCTTCTGAAATCCCAGTGCCCGGGCTCTACCTCTGAGGATTCCGATTTAATTGTGCTGGATGCAGCTGGAAGGGTGGGTGTTTTAGAAGCTCCACGGGTGATTCTATTGCACAGCCCAGCTTGAGAACCACTGTGCTAACTCACGGGGGGCAGACACATGGCCCTTGGGCCAAATCCAACCTTCACCTGGTTTTATTCGACCCAATGCCTTGTTTCTACCCAGCAGCAGCACTGAGCTCTGAGCTCGTGCTTAACTGTTAAGGAGTAGTTACATTTATATAGTCTGAAAATTACATTTGACCCTTTGAAAGCAACTGCAAGGCTGCTGTGGCCCCCGGTGAAAATGAGTTAGACACGCCTGTAAGAGACAGACCGGTAAGGAGCTAATTTCACTATGTGTTGTCCCAGAGAAAATAAACAATGGAAGTGCAGAGGAGTTAAGGTTAGCCTGGAGTTACTTTTATCCTTTTTTTTTTTTTAAGATTTTATTTATTTATTTTTAGAGAGGTAAGAAGGGAGGGAGAAAGAGGAAGAGAAATATCAGTGTGTGGTTGCCTCTTGCACGCCCCCTACTGGGGACCTGGCCTGCAACCCAGGCATGTGCCCTGACTGGGAATTGAACTGGTGACCCTTTGGTTCACAGCCTGCGCTCAGTCCACTGAGTTACACTGCCAGGGTTTGGAGTTACTTTTATTCTTACATTTCTACTGTATGCCATTTATGGGCAGGACCCAAGGCTTTCTCACCTTGGAACTCCCTTACCAGATCCTTATCCGTGATAGGGATGCAGCAGGCTGTCCGACAGAAGATGCTGTGAACCTTCCATATCTGCACTGTCCAGTGTGGTAGCCACTAGCCACACTTGTGAATGAGGAACTGGATGTTTTAGTTTACTTAGTTGATTTAAATGTAAGTAGCCACATGGGTCCAGTGGCTGCTGTGTTGGACGGTGTTGACTGGAAGAGGTAGTCAGGTGCTGAAGCGATTTGACAGTGTGTGTGGAGGCTCAGGTGGAGCAGGTTACTTTTTTCTCAGTGGTGTGAGAGTACATTCACCTCCTTTGAATCTTAATTTTAAAATTTAAAAAGATTTTTGAATTCCAGTTGACACATATTGTATGTCAGGTGTACAAAGGTAGTGATTGGACATTTATATAACTTTCAAAGTGATCACCCAGTGAAGTCTCCTACCCACCTG